AAAAAATAAAAAATAAAGCTTTATCAGTGAATTGTGCATTTAACATCACACTCACTCAAAAGATAACTTGATATTCTACAGTTCCTCTTTCAAATATTGGCTTAATTTAATTTCTAACTGCATGCAGGCTGGTGTTCTTTTGTAACAAATGTTGGAGGAAAACAAAAAAAAACAAGGCATTTCTAGATATCCAGATATGTTTATATTGGAGCTCCAACCTGGTAAGGTTCATATTCACATAAGATATTAACTATGTCTATTAAACTCACAATATTCTTGTGTGAATCACAAACCAATGGGAAAAAAAGAAACCTATGCCAACTGAGAATAACTACAGAAAAAACAGTATTTCATGGATGTGTTTGTGGGGCAGGCTTTCCAAGTTCTGATCTTTCATTCTTCTAAAGGGAATTCTTTTACTCCATTCTGTTACTGCAAGTATAACCTAGTCAAATTTGATGAATTTGGAAGGAAATAGCAAATGCAGACCATCTTCTTATTCCCTTTGTTTTAGAAGTAAGTGGTCAATGTGGAGCACACACTCTCCTTTGCATTGCCTGTGTTTGTGGCTTAATGTTGAGGATGTGCACTGCTAACAGATGGAAGCCATGTCTCCAACTCAGATATGTCAGTAACAAAGGTGGTATTTTTTGACTCCATACTGGTGGTGCAGTAGATAAGGCATGTGGCTGCTAACCATAAGATCAGTGGTTCAAACCCACCAGCTGCTCCTCAGAAGGAAGATGAGGCAATCTACTTTTGTAAGGATTTACAGTCTCAGAAACCCAATGGGGTCACTATGAGTCAGAATTGACTTGATGGCAGTATTTTTTTTTTTAATGCCTTACTGTTTTGTCTTATTTATCAGTTGGTTCTGAATTTGGTCTGGGAAGAGAGTTGCTATTTCAGTCCCCTTCAAAGACAATATTCTTATCTGAGAAATGATTCGAACTGTTTTAGTGGGTCAAAAGAAAAAAAAAAAAAAAAAGATGACATGTCTGAATCTCTCTTATGGTCATTTTATTAATATGAATATGATAAACTATTTAAAAAAGGGAACTTCAATAATTTTATAAAATCTTAAGGTAAATTTTTATCAGTAGACACCATCATCTCAGCTATATTTTTATGTTGCAGTTAGATACTGAACTATATTTAAAAATTTATCCACAAAGAAAGGATCTGCTATATTTCTGTCTTTGACAGGGAGTAGGCACAGAGCCAGACCTCATCACTGTCTGAATGGTACTAGTATAGTTTGAAAACTTTCTGATTCTGTGTCTAATGATT